ATCGAGAAAAGAGCTTACGCTGACACCCTTGCCAGTTGACTTGGTTGTTTGCGGCATTGTCAAAGCACCATGAGTGAGAGAGAGGATAAGCGTGACGACGGAGCGTGACCTCGAATCACCATTCAGACTCAGAGCAAGTCTCATGTTGGCATTTGTGTCCGTTCTTGAGAATTCAATCTTCATGGCTGAAGCTGAAGGAATCATGGCGGCAGCTCTCACGACCATAGGCTGCAACTCTCGCCCAACCTCCTGCACCACTGGCATCTGTTCAGGATGGCAACATCAATCGTAACTTTCAAGTAGATCTGTCATTCGAGAAAGAAGTCATTCATCAACGTTTCAACAGTTATCCGCTGGCGTAGAGCTAATACTACGAGTCTTGGACCGTACTCAGTCCAACTCCGCAGTTGTCCATTGCAGCAAATCCTTCGAGAAGTCTGTAATGGTAGCAACCCTTGAGACCTCCCATGGCTCTAACAAAGCACTTCAAGAACTTCCCCTTGCCTCTGTCGCTAAAACTGCATCCAGAACTCCCTCCTCTGCTATTCTTGATCTTTCTTGGCAACCCCGGAAGTTTGGATTGGCGGAATTGGACCCAGGATCCTAAGTTCGTACCTTGTCAAATATTCACTATGATATCAGGAATATATATGACTGTAATGTAACCGACTTTAGCTCAGTTGGAAGAGCATCAGACTGTAATGGCAAAAATCATCTGGGTGTCGCCTGTTCGAACCAGGCAAGTCGGATTTTTTTTAGTCATTTTGTACTGGCAGAAGATCACAACAGGCGGCTTTGCAAAAGCAAACCAATTTCCACAACGAAAGCCTAGGAAACATGTTGTCATCATCCCAAGAAAAGTCTCACAGGTTTATAGGTCAGAATTACTACCTTTAGAACTCATAGGTTGTATCTAGCGGGAACGACTTACAAATACAACCACATATCATTGTAAGCCTGGCTTATATAATGACACACTTGCATGACAAACATGTTGGACTTACTCCCAGCTTCTGGACTCTTACTTTCATCTAGATATCTTTGCTCTTGCTAGTGATCAGCGCTGGTTTGGAAAAACTCATGAGGGTCACAAGTACAGGTACAGGTCGCAATAGTCATACCTATAACCCTTAAAATAAGCCTGTAATCATTGAAATCAGGATTCAGTGAATAATTAGGTAAGATATTGTTGTAATACATATGATATACTGTTTTCCATACATCCTGATTATGCGTCACACATATTATATGGCTTTGGCCTTATTATGGACAAGTAAAACCTGCGGCTTATGGGTAAAGATCTATATGAGTATAAGTACGTGTCCAACAAAAAATACCTGAGGTTTACTTATGCTGATTACTAGTTTTAGCTTAGTGTATATACACTGTTCCAACATTACAAGCCACATCTGAATACACTCAGATGAAGATGAAAAGAAGAGAGGTTGAGAGGTGGAAGGAGACAATTTCTTCACATTAAAATGAATCTGAAGCTGAAATAAATAATGACAATGAATTAAACAGCCAACACTATCTTTATTCTTATTTATATGATACATTATATACAAACTACTAATAGTATAAAGTACTACATTACCTATTCCCTTTCTGGTGGTAAAACTCCAATTATACATTCTCAAATTTGTGTCTTGTCAAGTATTTATTAAAATATTAAGGATATAAATATATTTATAATGTATCCCGACTTTAGCTCAGTTGGAAGAGCATCAGACTGTAATGGCAAAAATTATCTGGGTGTCGCCTGTTCGAACCAGGCAAGTCGGATTTTTTAGTCATTTTCTACCTGCATCTTCCAGCTGTCAGCCAGAGCAGTGGAACAAGTGCTGATCTTTGCTTAATGTGAGTTTTCCGGTGATGGGCAACAAACGAACCTCTTGCCGGAATGCTATACAAACAAACCAACAAACAAAAACTACAAGTAAGCGGAAACCGGTGGGTGCCCTTGAGGTTCAGCTTTGGGTAAGCTTTTGTCGGAAGTCGGGTTTTTATATGTTAGGAGTCCCAAAATGTAGTGTTATTGGTACTGCTAGTGATGTAGGTTGGTTAGTACGGAATGGGGTTGTAACGATACAGTAACGCTTTTGCCGATTGCCTAAAACAGTCGGCAAGTTTGGATTCTGTTGGTTAAGCACTAAGGACAAGTTCAGAACTGATGCCGATAATGATGGTGTGGTCCGGCAAACGGATAGGTGGTAGCGGAACCAGGAGGAAGACTAAAAATGATGACAACAACGATCAAAACGACTAGGCTAACAAAAAATGGCCAGAATAACAGCTAACACTTGGTACTGGTAGGGTTTCAGTGATGCCAATGATCTTGCCGACGGAAGGACAGACTTGGCAAAGACTTTAAATAATGATTGGATGAATCCTAAGTACAGCCGATTGCTATACTTGGCACAATCCAGAGAGCGATACTAGACAATAAGTTTGACTGAGTGCCAATATTACTAATCCGAATGATCAGCAATACAACCTGACTGTGGCGAAGACAACTTTTGACAATTTTGGCTAGACTGAGTGAGCTTTGAACTACCAAACAAAATATTTGGCAGTTGACGATAGATTTTGGTAAGAACCTTAGATGATAGCGACAATATTCGGACAACTTTTCTACCAATCACAGTGATTGGCAGACACACGTAGACGTAGACAATACTAGACGATAGCAATTGCGATAGCAATAAGTTGCGTTAACACTAGATGCCACAAATTGGTAACAAACTCTTGCTAATATTTGCAAGCAATGCTGCCGACAAATATGGAAGTATCTTTCAGAAATAGAGAGGTGGGTGGACAAGCCCAAGCGATTCAATACAAATCAAACTAGGGGGATTTGAAAGCAAAAGGTCAACCGTTGTTTAGCTACTACATGAAGGCCTTTTATGGTTTTCCGGCAGGAACTAAACTAAATGTAAATAATTCAGAAAATTGAAAATGTATCATAAGTGAATGGTTTGGAGTAGGATGAGTAAGATTTTATGTTGTTCTATTTTAGGAGAATTTTTGTATAAAGATTTTTGAATGGTGCCAAATATTTGTCGGAATCGGCAAGAAATAAATAAATAGTGTGGGTGAATGGAATTAGGAGAAATAAATGGTTTAAATTGAAGAATATAATCAGCCACTAAATAGAAATAAGTAAAACATACAGCTCTTGTTTGGTCTTGTGCCACACATTGTATGGGCAGTATTGAGTTTTCTCGACCCGGAGCTTGCCAAAGTGTTGAATGAGTAACTGAGCCTTTCCGATCATTTTCTGGAAGTTCTATGGAACTTGCCGATATTTTTTAGAATTTTGGTGCGGATCATTTCAGTGTTTCTAGAATTGCCAATCGTTTTGGAATTTCTTCGAAAAAGTTGGCACTTCTAGAATGACTGGATCATGTGAAAATCACGTGAGTTGCCGCGTCACGTTTCAAGGCAGAGGCTTGTAAACAGAGGAAGAAGATTTGGAAGGACCAGGCAAGCTTGCCGTGCTCCTGGACTGAGTCGGAACGGAGGAACGAGATAGTTGAGAAGGAGCGGATTTGGAAAAAGTAGCGACAGGAGATAATATCGCTGGCCTGACCAATTTTGAAGTGTCACCAGTTTGCTTAGCCTTAGTGACAAGGGGAACACTTGCCGAAGCTTTTAGAAGAGTCGCTGAAGTAGTTGTGGGCTACCAAAATCGTCCATTAACAACAAGCACAATTGAAAATTCCTAAGTCACTTGCCAAAGAAGGAGAATGATAAAAATCGGAGGGCCTACCATGTTCCTCCAAAAATTGTTTAGCGCTTCTCACCTTAGCGGCATTAATGATATTGGCGGCAAGACTCTTGCCATTTCCTTTGGAAGATCGGGTTGCCTTACCATCAAAACAATATTTTGCGGCATCGATGCCACACTTGAAGCAAGGAAGAGCGCCACCAGAATAGAAGCACAAGTGGCCAAAATTCTTGGAGACATAACGATCACACTATCAAAAATTTGTTAAACCCATATAAAAGTCGGAAAGATACACAGACTTACGGCACCATGCAATTCTAAAGCAGCGTCACGTTGTTGCCAACTCACCATGGAATCAGTACCTTGTTTCAAAGCGTAAGAAGTACCTGCTGGTTGGTCTTCTTGACAAAACAAAGCCAAAGAGAAGATGGATACTTCAAGAGTTGCTGCAACTCGTCCTTTGAAAACGTAGTGCAATTCTAGCGAGCTAATCGCTAAAAAAGCCAAAAATTATATAAGAGAGAAAACGTACCTTGGCTTTTTGGAACCGTTGCTCAAAATTGGCAAGGTCTTCTATTGGATCCTCAGCCGTAATCCGGGGACCACCCTTTTGCTTCTGGGTAGAAGGAAATAAGCGCGTGGGTTCAACAGGAGAAGGAGAAAAAGAAGGGAAAATGTTGGAAAATTCTAGGGGTGACAGGTCGTCGACCAGCATATACTTGCTCAAGCCGATGAAAAATAACAACAAGGCAGGAGAACATATATTACTTACAGGAGAATCGAAAAATTTGGCATTGGGAGAGGAAGGAACTTTACGCATGGAAGGAGATTGTGCCGCTTTCGGCAAAGCCACAGAAGGAAGAGAACATTTGACAGTTTTTGAAGGCGCAAGAGGACCACGGGTTTTCCTGACAGGAGGCGGAACGGCAACTTCCTCGTCATCAGGAGAGGGAGAAATAGCGTGCCAAGAAGTCAAAGAGACAGCAGTAACAGGAGCCTTGCCCTTGCCGGATGAAGCCTTAGTGATTGTAGCCGACAACGTCTTGCCGCTCTGCAATCTAGCAATCTTATCTTTCAGGGGCATCCTTCTCCATCTACAAGACAAGTCCATTAAAAAGGATTGACAATAAAAAGAGAAATCGGCAACACACACCAAGAATGACTGGGGACAGTCAGCATTTCAGTGTGAAGGAAATATGATACACCCCAAAGAAGCCTGGACACGTAAATACGGCAGTTCATGCCCGTGATATGTGAAGGAAGCCAAATAACCAATTATTTTTGAAACACGACACGGCAACTCACGTGACTTTCACATGATCCAGTCATTCTAGAAGTGCCAACCTTCCCGAAGAAATTCCAAAACGATCAGCAACAATCGGCAATTTTTGTATCACCATTTTTAAAGTTGGTATAGCTCAATAGAATGTTCCAACACCTGTCAAATTTTTGTAGTTGGATTAAGTTTATGTCTAACTGTGAATGCATCTAGAACCTTTCTTGATCTTTCTTGAACATTAGGTATGCTGTATAACTTCGCTATGCAGAAATATTGGGGGTATCTATACGTATCTCTTTCTCTAGGATATAACCGACTTTAGCTCAGTTGGAAGAGCATCAGACTGTAATGGCAAAAATTATCTGGGTGTCGCCTGTTCGAACCAGGCAAGTCGGATTCTTTTTAGTTAATTTTGTCTTGGGGGTTTACCTGCGCCCATCACTACCGCGACGTCGGAAGTGCAGATTCCTTATAAGTAGTCCGTTTGCTCTACCACAATTGGGCAATACTACAGTATTCAAGATGACTTGTGTTCACAGATAAAATTGTGGGGTATCACTGTTAGGATGACAGCAGTCCTATATATTTGATGAATGCGGGCAAGGGCAGACAAGAGCAATGACCTGAACATATGAGGATTTGTAGAAGTCATCAGTCACTCACT